AGAGTAGTTTTATAGTGTGCTTTGCAAACAGCAATTCTTGGTATGCCTGAGTGTTTCACAAGCTGCTATTTAAAAAATAAATCATGGGTTTCTCACTTGTGCTCTTTGTCCCAACACTACATCTTCCCCAGCAGCTGAGCTCACTTCAGCATCCACGAAGAACAAATTTTTATCAGGACAAATCCATGAGCCCTGAGACTTGTGCTGCCTTCAGTTTGAGAAGGAGAATGAGGTACCACCACTGGTACAGCACAACCCCTTCAGGTTTGAGCCCCTGAAATCCCAGTGAACTCTCCTAATTTTGTCTTCTTTTCATTCTTGTATTTTTGTCTCTTTCTCCCCTTGTCCCTCCAGAAAAAAAAAAATAAAAGGAGGAGGAAGGACTCTGAAGCTGATGTCTTGGTATGAAAACAGATACAGGATTGGGTCTCTTCTGTAATTTAACCTGTTGGATCTGTTCCAAGTGTCCCCTGATAGGAAAACCCTTTTTTTCTACCTTAATGCAAGACAGTTCCCTCCAAGCCCTGCTTTGGGCACACAAAGTGTCAGGTTCTGCAGCTCAGTTATGAACGGCAGTAACAACAGAGCGTAGAAACAAAACCAATTCCTCCTCCTGTGTTTGAGGATCCTGGGCACGCTGGATCAATAAAGCTCTGGTGCTGTAAGCCCACCTGCTAACAGGGTTTTCAGCTGGTCGTGCAGACACGACACGTCCCAGACACCCCCAGTCACAGTGAGGTTTAGAGCGACGGGTTGGCACAGGCAGTTTCCATGGAGATGGATGGATGTTCCCTCACGCCGCCGTCCGTCGGATCTCCTCCGACAAGGTGATGGACCTCTCTTTCCACTCGTTGTTAGAGCACTTGGAGACAGCGTTGGCTGCCTGGCAGAACTTCTGGAGGAGGATCTTCCTGAGGAGCAGGTAGACCCAGGGATCCAGGATCTGGTTGAGCGAGGCCAGGCGCACGGCCGTCAAGAAGAAGTTGCATTCCTTGTGCAGTTCCGAGCTCTGGGCTTCCCCGGAGAATCCCTTGCAGTGCTCAAACGAGGTGTGGCTGAAGATCATCTTCAGCATCGTTATCTGAGGAAAGTTGGGAGGAAAAAGTCATGTCTCTTAAGACATCATTACCTGTCTATCTCTATAGGAAAATATCCCCGAAGACAAAATCTCAAGAAATCTTTTTCCTCCTTCATCCAATTCAAACTGTGACCAGAGCAAACGTGGCCCGAGAGGGCAGCTCAGTGTGTGTGTGAAATGAGTGATAAACATCAAGATGAGTGATCCCTGCCAGCTGTCCTCCAGCTCCATGTACAGAGCTCACGCTGACACAGGGCTGCTGCCCTGCTCGAGACACAGCAGCAAGGTGTGTGCTACGTGCTGGAGGCTCAGGGTGGCCTTGGAGAGAATGGGAAATTACTGACCTTGCAAAGCTGGACTTAAAGGGACTCTTTTATCATTATCATATTATCACAATTACAGGGAAGAGCTGAATAACTCACAATGAGCAGAGCTCTTCAGAATTAGGTTAGGAACAGTAAATGCCAGGAAAAAAAGAATTTCAAATTAAAAAATGTCTTCATTTCTTTAAAGATAAGGTCTTGTATTCTATGACTTCTGAATTTTAGAATTTGATTTTAAGGTAGGCTATTCTGCTTATGAGCTGAGCCAAATTAAAAGAAAAGGGTTAACAAAGGTGCTTTGGGCTAGGAGTCAAGGACACATACGTCAACAGAAAATACTTTCCCTTTGTCAAAAGCCACAGACTGCATTTGGTGTTAACCTGACCTGCCTTTCCTCCCTCCCCCCTCAGCTCAGCTCCTCCAGTGAACACAGTGGTATCCATAGGACTCTGCTTCCCACAGCATCCAAACTGGCATGGCCAGGAGACACTGTTAACACTGTGGGATGTTCCCCTAACTGATGTCTCCCAGACCTCACAGCACAGATCAACAAGCTCTGGCCTGGCAGCCAAAGCTACATGCAGGTTGATTTGGGGGCATTAAACGCCCTCAGTCCTGGCAGCACCTGGGGCTGTCAGGGTCTTGCCCTGGGTGGCACATGTCAGCACATTAAGCCCTGGTCAACAATAGTCAATGATTCAGAAAAGTCAAAGAAGAGGAGCTTTGATGAATACTTTCACCCCACAATCTGTACTTTGAGGTAATTTTATCACTCATTTCACAGTGTCAGTGGAGATACCTGCTGTTGGTCCAGTACAGGCAGCAGGGAGGATCCTTTTTTTTTTTTTTTTTTAATGGGTTGCTACAAGGGTTACAACCTTTCAAAGCATAGAAACTGAGGACTGAAGGCTTAAGTCTTAGCCACAGGACCACTGGTTCAGCCACAGGAACACTGGTTTTGTTACCAAGCTGCTGCTTATTCAGGTAAAGCAGTGAGCAGCTTTCTTGGTTTGGTTTCTTCTGAAGATGGCGAGAGCTCATGAGTGCTGGGTTGTGATGCTCTCATGTACCAGGATATAACTGGGGGAAACATGAATCACATTTTGAAAGATGTCAGAATAGATACGATATCCTGTGGCTTAGGCAGTATCTGTTATCTAAAGTTTTCTCTTGAGCTTTGTGTCCCAACTACAGCTGCTTAAAAATACAGACTTCAGAAGCTTTTCATCGCTTCTCTGCAGATTTTGCATTGCAACGTTTTTTCCAGGAGCTGATAAACATGGGGAGCAAGAGTGACCAGGAGCAGAGGCTGGGAAGGAGGATTTTTCCATCCAAAGGGATGGTCTGGGTGCCAGATCAATAACTATATGTTGACCTTGGAAAGACTTAGATGAGTCCCACAGGCAGGGCAGCTCGGATGGCAAAGTATGATTGTTTTTGTTTCCTTAAACAGAAGCAGTTGAGGAGTCCATCTACCACATTTAATTTAAATCAAAATGAAAGCCATTACCCGTCAGTAGAGCTTTTTAAAAATACAGACGGATACAACCCAGACCACATCCAACAGCCACTTGTACACCAGAACCACACAACCACAACCCCACCACTTCCTCTGCCGCCTCCGGCTGCTCAAGATACTGTCCCTGTCCCAGCTCAGCCCAGACTGCCAGCACCACTGCCTGCTGTGCCCAGCACAGCCCACCCCCAACCCGGAGGGCACCATTGCCTGGGGCTCTGAGCAGCCTGGTCTGGTGGGAGGTGTCCCTGCCCATATACAGGGGGGAGGGATCTAGATGGTCTTTAGGGTCTCCTCCAAACCGTTCTATGATTCTGTGAAATCTGCTGTGCCCACATCACAGCCCGTGGAAACCACCCACACTTGTCCTTCCTAGTACTGGGATTGCTGTCTCCCAGATCAGCTCCTCCAGCTCTTCCTTTGGGAGCTCTGCAATGATCCTTCTTCTGCAGACCTTGTTGTCTTGGTCTTCTGTTACTGAACCCATGGAGCTGCAAAAACACCAGACCAATAACATGCCTTTCCCAAGCAGACAACTGCTGCTTATCTGGGGGTTTATTACATAATATTCCTTTACTGGAATATTAGTTGGCCCAGAAATTGCTTTACTGGAAACTCTATTTTATATCCTTAGAGGTCATTTATCATGGCCTATGCTGCTCTTCTACATGAATTAAAAGAAAGACTGCAAAGGGTAGAGGAACAGCATCAGGTGGAATAAAGCCAATGGAACTACACCGTCTATGCCAATTAAAAAACGTGGTTCAAAATGCACATAGCAATATAGTTGATAATTGTATGTATTCAATTTATCAAAAGAGATAAAACTTTACTGTTACCACTGAATGCAGCTTTAGCATTAAGCCTCCACTGCTCTGGTTTTCCAACATCGAACCCAAGACAGGGTTTGTCAGATATCCTTCCAGTGTTTGCAACACAGTTGGATTGCAGGACACAAGAACTTCTCAGGGTTGTTTCACAGGCTGCCCAGCTGGCAGCCAGCACTGGGACACCCTGAGACCACCTCAGCTGGACACAGGCAGCCCGTGTCACCTCAGGGACTCCCCAGCAGCTTTCTGTTAGAATGCCAGGAGTTCAGAATGAACTCCCATTGTATGTAGGGGAAGGGGGGGGGAGGAAAAAAGACAAAAACTTTCTCCCAAAGATCTTTTTCCGGTTTAACAAACTATTTTGGAAACTGCTGCTATCTGCAGTAAAAGATGGAGAGTAAAACAGCTGATGTGCTTAAAGGTGCATATTTTTCAGCCAAGCAAGTGCTGAGTAGTTGGTCTGGAACGTGGGGTGGGAATCTGATGGGAAATTGCTGGTCCCAGACTGAAACATCTTTTCTTGAAGCTTCCAAAAAAACCAAATGTGTTCTCTATGCATCCTGAAGACAAGAGGAGTCATCCTCCCTCTCCCACTGCATCTCCTCTCCCACTGCATCTCCTCTCCCACTGCATCTCCTCTCCCACTGCATCTCCTCTCCCACTGCATCTCCTCTCCCACTGCATCTCCTCTCCCATTAGCCCTAATCTGTTGCTTAAATAGTTCTCTCACACATAAAGCAGCAAGTCATGGAAGGAGCAGAGGCTTCTCACTGGCAGAACAACCACAAGCAAATCACTTCTCTGTTTCTGAGAAATACAAGAGAGCAAAACCATTTGCAGTCCTTTTGGAGAATGACTGGAGAAGGCTGAGGATCTCCCTAAGAACCTGTTTACAGAAAGATAACGACGCGGGGAATCATGACAAGGTCTAATTCCAACAAACATGATCTCATTTTTACCACTTGGTTGTGACCTTATCTAGGCAAATCCAGCCCAGCAAAATCCAGCCTTGTGGCCAAGCTGCAGTGGTCAGTACAGTGGAAACACAGCACTTGTGGGAAGAGTTACTGGTTCAGAGAAGAGGGGCCACCTGTTTTCCTTGCAGCTCAGTCACATCACTGTCTTTTTTTCCCCAAAGTGAAGGTGCTTTCCATAACTATACTTTGCACATCTGAAACACCAGAAAATTACACCTTTTTAATAAAAATATCTGTAAGGAGAAGGTATTTAATTTCTGTCTGACAGGTTAAGAAGTATTTTAACAGGAAAAGCAGCAGGACACATGAGCATTTTGGCTTTAGATATCCTGGAAACAACTCTGTGAGTTATTTTGCAGCCTGGAGCTCTACAAGAATTATGATGAGAACTGCAGTCTGTGCTGCCCCAGTGCTTCTGTGCAAGCAAGAACAGCTTCCTCTGTTCTGCCTCAGACTTGTTTCAGTCTCCTGCCACTTCACTTCTATGGTCATGCTCCACAGCTGAGCACCAAAGTAAATAAAAGACTAGAGTGAACTAGAAAGCACTTATGATACAGCAATACTTTACTAAAGTGGAGCATTTTCCTAGGTTCTCCAGGCTCAATGCAAGGAAGAACCTGAGTCCAGCCCAAGACAAACAATGCCTGCGTGGTGTGTGCACTGCCTCTGCTCCAGCATAAATCAGGAGCAGGCAGGACACTGCATTGAGCTGTCAGAGCTCAGCCACCAGCGTCAGAAGTTGCACTTGCCTGTTGAATCACATTTGGTTTTGTAATCTTTGCCAATAGATCAAGTCTAAAAATACTGCCTGTGTAAAAGGGCATTGTTTACCTAACAGTAATTGTAATAGTGGTCAGGATCCATTCCTTCTCAGTCACAAAACTCATTATTTATTTATTTTAAACACGAAAATCTCCTCTGAAAACCCCCTGCAGCCTGGTTTTGACTGAATCCCTCACAACTGCTAAAGGGTGCAGCTGCAGGAGATCTGGGCTCTGCACCCTGCCTTTCACTGAAACCGCCCCTGGGCCAACCCCGTGGCCACCGCCAAGGAACTGGCCTCCCGCTCCTCATTTGTACTTTGCGGTTGTACAGGAAAAGCTGAAGCGTGCGTGTCCTCGTGCTCCCGGAGTCACGGCTCGTGGGTCCAAGACCGCAAACGCTGGAGGCCGCGCTGCCAGGCACAGCAGCTCTGCACACCCGCAGCCCCGCACACCCGCAGCCCCGCACACCCGCAGC